AATCAATATTATACCGCTGCTTAAAGATTAACACATACGCAGGATGTATAATATATTGTACTCGGAATACTATAGTACCGCTGCTTAGAGCCAACGCATACGCAGGATGTACGTAAACCGAAACAAATACGCGACCGTGACCAGAATGAAAATGGATATAATCAGCAATGGAAAAACGGAAAATATAAACTTTTACGCGCACTGAAATGACTACCTGTATTGGTGTTGAACGTCCACCGGAATGGCTGCGCGGGATGCGCGCCTGCCGGGATGACTGCGCGGGATGCGAGGAAGACCACCGGGATGACTGCGCTGAATGCGCGTCCGCCGGTATGAATGCGCTGGCTGCGCGTCCGCAGGGATGGCTGCGTAGGCGCGAATATGTCCGCCGGGATGGCTGTGCAGGATGCGTGCCCGCCGGGATGACTGCCGGGCGCAAGGACGACCACCGGGATGACTGCGCTGAATGCGCGTCCGCCGGGGTGTCTTAAGGGCGCGAGGATGTCGGCCGGGATGACTGCGCGGGATGCGCGTCCGCCGGTATGACTGCTGATGCAAGGGAGACCACCGGGATGACTGCGCTGAATGCGCGTCCGCCGGTATGAATGCGCTGGCTGCGCGTCCGCAGGGATGGCTGCGTAGGCGCGACTATGTCCGCCGGGATGGCTGTGCAGGATGCGTGCCCGCCGGGATGACTGCCGGGCGCAAGGACGACCACCGGGATGACTGCGCTGCACGCGCGTCCGCCGGGATGTACCCCTGTGTGCGTGAGCGTCCGCCGGTATGACTGCGCGGGATGCGCGTCCGCCGGGAGGACACGTGCACTGACCTGGTCGTCTCTCCTTACCTTGCCCAGATCGTTTTCCGATGCTGGGCAGGCGCCGCAGATTGCGCGTATCCGTCGGCCCGTCATGGTGGACGAGTTAACAATGGCGGGTGACGCCACTAGTGGACTCGTCCGATGCTTCTAGAAGGCCCAAAATATGGACTCGCCCAGCGTCGTTAGCGCAAAAAATTGGGCTCGTCCGAGGATTCCTCATGGCTGGTATGGCGTGTTCGAGGTCCTCTTGAGAGCTATATAGGTCCGCCCGCAAAGCTGGGGATGACCTGCGTGTCGCCGTTGATCCCAGTTCCGCCGATGCGAACGTGAAATGCGCGGATGCGCATCACGTCGGGGTCACCAATTGTGGGGCCTGTCGATATTATTACGGCCCGGCTGAAGCGCCCACAATACTTCGTAGCCGATAGCCGGTATGCTAAGGCGGGAAAGAACTCACTCACTGTATAGGATATATATGAGAACTTTATTGAGATCTCGGTACACGGCAAGGTGATCAGACTTGACCGTGTCGAAGGCGAGTTACGACTTACATAATCTGTTCCCGCTCGGACAGCGCCACCAACGACCATAGACTGTGTCGTGGTGTAGAAAGGCAACTCTAAGTCGCCACAGATCGATCTATGCAGCTGACATCTATGAACTACTCGGTTAACTACAGTTGCGGTCGGTAACCCAAGTCCTATGGTAAAAAGTTGTCACAACAGCCAAGATATACAGGGTGGGTCTTATTGTTACCC